TTACAGTCCCATAAGTAGAGCTACCTGAAGCTGTGTTTTCTGAAAAATAAAGAATTTGAGGATTGGTTTTGCAGAATCCATTAACAGTCTCATCAAAGAAAAATTCAGAACTGCATCAGACTGTCATAAAGTTCATAATTGTTCTTGTTTTGAATTACATGTTGCAGGGCTTTGGGGCAGAGTTGTTCATAATCTTTTCTTTGCTTTGGCCTTTGATGACCTTCAAAATACCTTCCTGAGGCCTCCTGGCAGCATCAAAAACTCACCTCAGAGGGAAAAGTGCGCTGGAGATTCTGCTCTTTCTGAGTTCTGCCAATTTAAGGCATGATTTCAGAGAAATCTGAGCCATTGTGCGCCTTGCTTCCTGCATGGGAAGGTGGAAAGAATAATCATTTAGCACCTCATGACTGGTGAGAAATAGCTGGCGGTTAATGAATCAGTCCAAGGGATTTTTCAGATACTGTTTGCATTACTAATGCCCCATTTTCAGTTGGTAAAAGCAGAAGGCCAGGGGTGGGCAGAAGAAGGCATTTGAACAGTTGGGGGCAGGGAGTCCTCCTCTGACTATTCCCACCACGGAGTACAGACCCTCAGCAAGGGAGTGTAACGCCCAGCACAGGCTCCCGCTCACCAAGGCTGCCGGGCAGCACCCAAGGCTCGGATGCACCACGCCTCCCAGCCCACTGCCTTTTGCCCATTGCCAAGATGCATCTGTTTCAAATTTTTCAATTCTCATGGCGTGCTCTGTTATTACAAATAACCATTTACCCTCCTGGCTCCTTTGGAATCATCCCAGAGCCAATTTTTCTTCATTTTTTAAAAAATAATTTCTCATTTTTTAATAAATACTAAGTACTTTTTTAGGTTATTTTCTGTCCAATGCATGGCACTGTTAAAATTCTATTGCATGGTTAGAGACGTGATTCCTTTGTGACATCAAAAGCAAGATTACAGTCACTTCTAAGAGTTTACAAGTGCTTTTAAAGTGTCTTTACAATATATTGAAAATCCATGTACTCAACAGTCATTTATTTAGCTGCACTGCTATCAACCATGGGGATGGCCAAGGATGTAAATACAAATACACAGTTCCTGCCCTCAAGGAGCTGACTGTAAGATTATTGCTCCACAGGGAATCGTAATTACTGTGTTTTGCTCCACAATTTTTAATTACAGTATTTCAAAATTCAAGACCCGTAGGCAGCCCTGAATCCAAAATGTTCTTTGATGTTGTCTCAACATCTCTTCACTTTGAACACACTTGGAGAGAAAAGAGCGCATCTGCCTCTTGCCCCTGAGAAGACTGCTAGCTGACGGAACCAAATGGAGCACCCGTGGCTGTCCTTCAGCAGCCACCATTTGCCTCCTGCGGCTTCTCTGGACCACTAGGCTTGTACAGTAAACTTCAGCACTTAAGGGCTTTCCCAGTCTTTATTTCATTTGATGCCACTAATTCTCAGTACAGCAGTGTTAGCCCCACATTACACATCAAAACTGAGGTCCAGAGATGTCCCTTGACAAAAAAGCTACCCACCTTGAAATAGGAGCTTGGGACCAGAGGCCTTCGGAGATGCTCCCTGGTGTGGCTTTGTTCAGCCCTGCTGAGGTTCTCAGATAAGCCCACTGCATTCCATCCTTCACTGTGGCCAGGTGACTGAGTTGATCTGGTCATTTCCATGACTGACTCTTTTCTCTTTTACATGACTGAGTAGAAGGATTGAAACTTGGAAGGCATTTCTGAAAATAATGTGTACCTTCTTCCAGTCACTTTCAATTTAATCTCTGATCTCTTTCTAACTTTGGGGGAGGGGGCTCTGAACTTGCTTATGCAAATGAGGAATTCCCCTGCTTGTAAGTCTACAGAATGAAGAGATGCAGAATGATTTTGAAGGGTATCATTTACATAACAAAATGAGATAGAAAAAAACTTATCTGAGACATCATCTTCCCGAAAGGTCAAATTCTACTTGACTTGTTCACAACCAAAAACCTGAGCTCTAATGTCATCCTCCAGAAGGCTTTTCCCAGCAAAAGAGCACATGACTTCCAGGAGTCTACAGTAGCTAATGAGCTTCCTTTGGGCATGAAAGGAGAATGGTGGCTGGGAGGAAAAGGTTAAGCAGCAATGGATAAATTTGAAAACTTCACAGTTTTCCAATAAAGCAAATAAATGGCTCTAGCCTTGCTATGTCACAAATGCCTTGGTATGTTTGGCTGCCTGCTAGGTGCCAGTGTTGAAAGGCCAGGTAGCAGTAGAAAAAATTTTTCTGCTCTGAGCTAGGTGAGAAGAAACTGGGGGACCATATTGTCCTATAGGGCCATCTTCCTAAAAGGCTATATAGGGCATTTATACATAGATGATTGGTAATCAAAGATGGGTGGGCACCTCCTTCTAGGTGGAGGTGGGTGGCCAAGTGACACACATCTGCTTCCAATCACCCAGTTGCGAGATATTTTTTGGTTTTGCAAATCTAAAAACAATGATCATTTTCTTTCCTTTGGCTACTCTTTTTGCTGTTAACCATGTGGAGTTCCTGAATATATTACACAATAGACTAGGTGATCAGCCAATGTTAAGAAAAATTACCTGATGATTTTCGAAGACAAGAGTCAGGTGAGATTTAAATAGGGAATATATAAGATGTAAGATGGCAATTTAAATTGCAAAGGACCAAAGTTGGGTGTAGATTGCTTCCATTATAGCTAAACATATTTGGGGAAAATACAGCTCGCCCTCCACTACAATTGTCCAAAATCAGACCATGAAATATCCATTGCAATAAAAATTGTACCTATTCCCTATCATCTGTGGTTGCGTAGCTATGTTAGAGCCATTGAGATCACCAGCTAAATAAGGGAAATAAAATCCATTTTATTCACAGGTGTATGTTCTTGTGCAATTGTGTAGGTGGTTAAAAAAAGAGGTTCCGTGGAACCTGTACACAATCAAACCTGAAGGAAAATCAGTAGCTATTTTAGCATAACAATAAGGAAATGCAAATTTTAGGAAGCTACTTTCATTAGCACGTTTTCTTGGCTGACTAGATATTAAAACATATTGGAATGCAAGATACCCCGCTGTGTAGAGTGCTATGCATAAAAGGTGAGTTATAGGTGGATTTTTGCTTCATCTTTTACCTTTTCAAAGATGATGAAGATAAATATGGAAATATTTGAAAAGTGTTTAATCATAGTATGTTTTTTCTCAAGAGATTTTGCTGCTTCTGTTTATGCCACCTGAAGTCACAATCCTTTGTCACAGGACAATCATTTCTACAGTAACCAAGCACACTGTCACAATGGAGGAAGGGATCCTTTAGAGAAAAGAATGTAATCTTCCAGCTAAGGTTTCTGGATTTTAAAATCATCTCTCCAGTAATCAAAATATTTTAGCAAGAGCCCCCCATGACGAAGCTGCATGTTTTTAAGGTTCCAGCTGTGGGGTTAAAGAAAAAACATTTTGTTTTCAGCAGAAGTTTAAAGGTTGCATGTTTTGGCTTTGGGAAGGGGTAGAGGGCTTTTTGTTGGTTGTTGTTGTTGTTGTTGTTGTTTTTAAAATTTCACTTCATTCTAATTCTGTACCAGTGATACCTGCCAGTAAAATACATTAAACATGTTCCAGAAATAGTTGAGTTAGTAGAAGAAAAATGTGTCTCCTGAGACCAGAGAAGGTACATTTTCTGTCTTGCTACCGTTTCCATAATAGGAACAATATTTACATTTCCTCAGCCTGTGCAGCGCTGCTAATGTATTCATGTTCTTTCACTCTCCAGAGGCAGGAATTGAGACTTTTTTTTTTTAGCTACTGCATCAAGCACTTAGGATCTGACAATTGTGATGTGTATTCTCACTTGGTATTAAAAAATAAAAGCTTCAGTGTTTGCATTTGATTAGAGTCGCTCAGCTTGGTGGCTGATTAAGCAGGAAGGAGAAAGCAACTTTTTTCAGAAGCACAGCATCTTGGTTAATGTAGTGTAAGATTATAGATGGGCTTAGTCGCATAATTTTTATTAAATTGAAAGGATCAGCTCTGCTGAAGAACCTCACAGTGACAGCAAAGTCTAAGCATAATAATGGGACTCAGCACTTCTCAACCCCACTAATGGGTCTGAGCCCCCAAGTGATCTTTTTTTCCCTGTAGCTAACTCCCAATATTCCATTCAAATATTCAGCAGGTATACCTGAAATTTGTGGATGCGAAATAAGCAGACATGTTGTGATCTGTGAGCTCTAGCTCTTTTCTTGTACTGTAAATGACACACACCTTCTATTCCCTCATTCTTTAAGCACTTCTCTCCAGACAGAGATCCCGGTGCTACAAGGAGCTGTCCCAAAGGAGCCCAGCTGGAAGCCTGGATTGTTGTGTGATTTGTCCACTTCACATGCATATAATTGTTGCTTCTTCCTCCAGATATAAAATATCTGGTACTCATTCTATAGGAAGGGACTGACAAGAGATGAAATGGGAAAGAGAAAGTTTTTTTTGGTGGGGGGAAGGGTCTACAGGGTGTTCAGGGTCTCACTATCAGACTCATAGTGATCTGCCTGTTTAGAGCCTCCCAAGAGGTGGGATTACAGGCTGCGCCACCATGCCCAATCTCAATTGCTGTCTCAGCATGCCCCAGGGGTGGAGCCAGCACAGCAGGCCCAGGGGATGAACCCTGGCCCCTGCGCCTGCTTGCAGGCACTTTAATTCACTGAGCTATTTGGCTGGCCCATAGAAAAACAAATTTTGTCAGCCATAACCTACCATGTTCCGTGGAATGCAGCTATCTAGAAGAAGCCTTTACTCCAACTAAGGCAACCCAGGAAGTGTGTTTACATAGGTGGGGCCGGGGCAGGGAGGGCTAATTAGTTCATGTTTGTCAAGCTGCACCCTGAAGACGCTGCAGAGGTGCTCTATTCACTCCTGACTTCTTATTCACAGGGTGAATACCAAACAGTAGTAAGCCTCCTGGTGTGCTTCCATTTCTGAACACCTTATGAAATGTCTGTTGCAGGAGTGATTCGGGAAAGTTACCTCAAAGGACACGACCGGCTCGTTCCTGTCACCCTCTTGGCAATCGCAGTGATTCTGGCTTTTGTCACGGGGGCCGTGTTCTCTGGCATCGTTGTGTATTGCGTCTGTGATCACCGGCGCAAGGACGTAGCGGCCGTGCAGCGCAAGGAGAAAGAGCTCACCCACTCACGCCGGGGATCCATGAGCAGCGTCGCCAAGCTCAGTGGCCTCTTTGGGGACACTCAGTCCAAAGACCCAAAGCCAGAGGCCATCCTCACACCACTCATGCACAATGGCAAGCTCGCCACGCCCAGCAACACAACCAAGATGCTCATTAAGGCTGACCAGCACCACATGGACCTGACAGCCCTGCCCACGCCGGAGTCCACCCCGACGCTGCAGCAGAAGCGGAAGCCGGGCCGAGGCAGCCGCGAGTGGGAAAGGAACCAGAACCTCATCAATGCCTGCACAAAGGACATGCCCCCCATGGGCTCCCCTGTGATCCCCACAGACCTGCCCCTCCGGGCTTCCCCTAGCCACATCCCCAGTGTGGTGGTCTTGCCTATCACTCAGCAGGGCTACCAGCATGAGTACGTGGACCAGCCCAAAATGAGCGAGGTGGCCCAGATGGCCCTGGAAGACCAGGCCGCCACCCTAGAGTATAAGACCATCAAGGAGCATCTCAGCAGCAAGAGTCCTAATCACGGGGTGAACCTCGTGGAGAACCTGGACAGCCTGCCCCCCAAAGTTCCCCAGCGCGAGGCTTCCCTGGGCCCTCCGGGAGCCTCCCTGTCTCAGAATGGCCTGAGTAAGCGCCTGGAGATGCACCACTCCTCCTCCTACGGGCTTGACTATAAGAGGAGCTACCCCACGAACTCGCTCACCAGAAGCCACCAGGCTACCACTCTCAAAAGAAACAATACTAACTCCTCCAACTCCTCCCACCTGTCCCGAAACCAGAGCTTTGGCAGGGGAGACAACCCGCCCCCTGCCCCGCAGAGAGTGGACTCCATCCAGGTGCACAGCGCCCAGCCCTCTGGCCAGGCCGTGACTGTCTCCAGGCAGCCCAGCCTCAACGCCTACAACTCACTGACCAGGTCGGGGCTGAAGCGCACCCCCTCACTAAAGCCGGACGTACCCCCCAAACCTTCCTTTGCCCCCCTTTCCACATCCATGAAGCCCAATGACGCATGTACATAATGCCTGAGGGAGGGGTCAGGAGTCCAAGCAGCAGGCGAGGCACGTCATCGGCTGGCTTAGCGAGGCTCTCAACTGCCTGGAGCGAACGCCAGACCCAGACGCCTGAGGCAGCGCTGAGGACACGGGTAGTCCTCTCTGGAACACAGGGGTTCTCTCAAAAGTTGGGCCACGTGGTTTGGTGAAGGCGTGCAGCAGCGGGACTCACCTCCATCCTCTCCTTCACTTATCCCACAACCCCGCAGCAGGTTGGACCCACGAGAGACTTCAGCTAGCATCACAAACATGAGCCAAAAGCACATGCCCACCCCACTTCCCACGCACACATGCGCACATACACACACACACACACAATCATGTACACGTGCGCACACACACGTGCACACACACGCGTGCGCACACGAACAGCAACCACATTTTGCCCATGACTGCATGGAGCACTGCCCAACTGGGCTAGCGTTCCAGACTTCAACACACAGAACACATTTTTAAAAATCATGAAAATTTTAAAAGACAAAAAAATAAAGAATTCATTGATAATTCTAACTCAGACTTTAACAATGGCAGAAGTTTACTATGCGCAGATACTGTGAAACGCCCACCAGTGTTACAGCTTTCTGTTATAGCAGATCAATGCCATGTTGGGCAACTATGTCATAGATTTCTGCTCCTCTTTTAATGAAATAACGTGACCGTTAACGCAAGTAACTCTTTATTTATTGTTCACTTTTTTTTCCTTAAGGAAAGGACTCTTCCACGTATCAAACTACGGACAGCTCATCTAAAGTCCCTTGAAAGTTAAAACTATTTAACGTGAAATCCATTAACTGGAATAATTGAGTTTCTTTATTTTTACAATAAATTCACTGAGTAAATAAGTTGAAGCTTGAATTCTGAGCTTTGTTTGGACTGTCTGGTCTGTAGCTAAAGGAAAGAGTTAGGATGGGAATATTTATTTAAATCTACCAGTCAATTTGCTGGTCAGGTCTCTGGCCTACAACATGCAAAAAATTAATTTCAAAGCCCTTCCGGATCCTAATTTCTAAAGCAACCAGGAGGGCAGTGTTCTGCGCGGCTCACCCTCTCCCGTTGGTGCCAACATGGCTTTATCAATGGTTCCTACCTTTTGTGAAGGCGCCAGCTTACGATACGCCATCTCATTTCACCTTGCATGTGAGACAGCAAATAAAATCCACAAACAGTGTGAACTAATTAATATGCTGGCTGCTACCTTGCATAAATTAATGGTTGAATCACACGGGTTTTTCGTGGGTTACATCTGTGAATAGCCTGTTTTCCACATGTAAATTTGTGCCTTACACCCTGAGTTGTGTACACTTGTAAACCATCCTTATGATCAACTTTTCCTTCCTTCTGAAATAAATACAGATATTTATTGGCGCCTCCCCCACCCACACTCCAGCCCTCTGGAAGATTGGAGTCAAGCAGGTGGAAGAAGAACGCAGTGGTGATGGTTGGGGGATAAGGCAACCTGGGAATGCTGGGTGGAACCACAACCTCCGCTTCACACTGCCTTCTTGTTGTGCCAACCTGAACCACCCTTTGGCTGCGCTGTGTGGGGAGGGTGGTAACCCTTTCCTTCAGAACTCTCTCCATCCCTTACACTCAGTCATTGCAATATGGTGACATCCTCATTAGCCAGCAGGAAAGGGACTAATACCCCAGCCCGCCTTTCTGCTGTGTGCAGTGGCTGCAGAGCACACCATGCCCTGCATACAAAGGGACAGCATGGACATAGAGCAGGCAGGCTGGTCCCTGCTGTCATGATGAGTAACTTAAAGGGCAAGGCCAGCCACCACAGATGCAGCAAAAATGGTGACTGGGACAAAAGCTTTTTTAAATTTTTAAAATTTCTTTATTCTTTTAATATTGTTTGTAAAGTGTTAGGAGGGAGTGACCTGCGCTTCTCTCTCCTTGCTTTTCCTCTGTTGGAACACATGGAAAGGACTTTGGTTTACTTTATCAGCAACAAAAGAAATGTCAACATACTGTAAACTGTGAGTATTTGTGTCAATTGTTAGTGTGTTTTTTTTAAGAAGTTAAACAGTATATTTGGTGATTGCTTTGTCTCTTAATCTCCAGTTCAATCTTCCAGGTTTAGTTTTGTCTTTAAAAATAAAAATTTTAACAAACCTTCAGAATAAGACCGTCAAGGACACTTTGAGCGGGTTAGTAAAAAAGCAGTACCTTCATAATGAGCACGCTCACCTGGAGACCTGAGCATGCCTGGAAGGACAGGAACACGACCCTCTGCCCCAAGGGTCCCTTGCGGTTTGACTCGGGTAGATCACTGTCAAATTTCATTTTGTTTTTTAGTGGAGTCAGTATTCACATCCCAAAAGCTCTGTACCTTGAAACCAGGACTTCTTTCCCAGAAACTGAGATGTTGTTTCCTCCTGTGCGAGGAAGGCCGTGGGCTTTGGTCACCCTGCTGCCTTCCTCCCTGCGCTCAACTCCGCGGAGTACTGGTGGGCAGCACCCACCTGGGTGTGAGCCTGTGCCTGCGTCAGTGGACGTCACTGCCCCAGCTGTGCTAAGGAGACCCATCCAAACGTATGTCCCACGTTCCCGCATCCCACAACCCACCGCTCGCAGTGTTCAGCAGTGCCCACGGATGTGGAGCCGGTCTTATGCATCGGAGTGTTTTACCCCTTCTTTTCCTCACTGTGTGTGGGGAGGGTCCATAGCCCGAGTGTGCCTTTGCTTTCCTCCCTCGCTAGACACTGTAGATGCAACAGACTCAGATTTATATTTGTTGTAAAGTTGTAAAAATACTGTGATGTCACCAGTTTTTCCTCCATCTCCGCATCCCCTAACATCTGATTCACAATTTAATGTATGTTATAAAAGAGAAAAAGAAAAAAGAAAAAGGGTAAAAAAGAAAAAAAGCAGAAAAAAAAAGGCTCTTTATTACTTAAAAGTAATAAAACCAGACTGTTCTACATTGTCTTTTGTGTCCTGATTGCCTTTTATTTATCCTCTTTTTTTCTGTTTTAGTGTCTTTCTCCACCCTCTGCTTTTGTGGGGTAGGACTCCCCCCTTTCTTTCATCTCTATTTAGCTCCCACCATAGAAATAAATACATAATTTGACAAATTTGTTTGTAATAAACCCACACCCTGCTCCCCCGCCCAAATTATTGATGGGCGCTTTCTGTCTGCACCAAGCCTGGGGCAGGATTTGGGCTGAAGCCATCCACCGGTAATTAAAAGGCAGCGCACGCACTGGCTTCCTCTATTCGTGCTACACATTTTCTTTTTATGGGCTTGTTCATCATCAAACATTTATGGTAGGCTTGATAGTTTAAGGGATCAAGGCTTGGAGTTTAGTATGTAAGGTCCACTAAAAATAGATCCTTGCGCAGATGTGACTTCAGCTCTTTTACATATTAATAAGAGAGAGGGTGCTGGATTTCACTCCTTCTTAGCATTTCCCTCCTAACTCAGGGACGCTATTGGAGGTATACTGGGCTGCCACGCTTGGGTTTCATTTTGCAGAATAACATGAAATGCTTAGCTCAGGTTTTCCCTTCTGGGTATTTTGAAAAACTGTTATGTAAATGAGTCCTCACTATTTGACCTTCTAAAGTAATTTTTAAAGATATTTTGGGTTAGCTCACATGGGAAGCAGCAATTGGGGCCTTGGCTCACACCTGGAATGATCTTTTGGTCTGGTCCAAAACTGTTTTCAAAAGATATTTCCAGTTGTGTTTCTTTTCTTTTCTTTTTTTTCTTTTTTCCCCAGTTGTGTTTCTTGCATTACAGCCTCAGTGCCAGCCACTGTTGGCCTGGAGTTCACTGGCCATAGTTCCTCCATCCTTATTTACAAAGACTGGTAGACATTGTCCCCAAAATGACTCTTCTCAGATGTAAGCACAGAGTGCTGAAGAGGCTCCTCAGTTTGGGTTTACTAGGCAACTTCTGAGTTGGTTCTCATACAATGAGTTCACTGGACATCTCAGGTTGAGGAGAAAGTTGGGCAAAAGCACCACACAGGCTGCTTGGGAAGTGAAAGATGTAGTAGGCCTTGAGCAGGAGCCTCGAGAACACGCCCGGCAGGGCCAGGCTGGGGAAGGGTGGCTGGGCACAGGGTGGGTGGGCTCTGGCTGTCTGTGAGGACTGCAGCTGTAGGGGAGCAGAACACTGCCCTACTCGGACTAGATGAAGCAACAGTCAGATGTGTGAGATTCGGGAGCTACCCGCAAGAATGCGGGAGCTGGTGTGGCCTGCAGAGGGACTATAGGCTGGCTCAGCAATCTGCTTTCAGACAGGCTGCACTGGTAGGAGCAATACAAGTGGAAAAGCCACATCTGACTTCAAAGTCGGTAGGAGACGTAGGAAGCTAGCTCTGTGACTGTCCATCTGCCAGACAGAAGACCTTCCTTCATACATGATGGGCAGGCTGGCCTTAACCAGTTTTAGACAAATCTCTTAGCATAGAATTCAGGATGGCCAACAAGTAGTCTAACAGGACTTTTTTTCAGTGGGAAGCGAGGCACTACAGAGAAAAGGATTTGCTAGTGATCTTAAACCTGGTGGAAAACAGCTGAAGTGAAGACAAAGTCTGCCTCTCCTAACCTTGCCAGATCAACACAGCTATGTGAGCTAGAAAGGCAGCCCTGCAGACCTGAACAATGTCTCCCTCTCACCATTTTCCTCAGACCCCCTCAAGCTCCCACTCCGGTTCTCCATCTGGGCCAGGCAAGGGGATGCTCAGGCACTCAGGCCACAGGGGAAGACACCAAACACCTCCACAGTACAGCCCGATCCCTGTCTAGTGCCTTTGCTGCTGTCAGCTTTGTTCCGGGATGGTGAAGAGGTGACGGCAGCTGAACAGGTGCAGCAAGTATTTTAACTGAAGCCCCAGGGATGCCCCTGCTCAGACAAGAAAAACATCTCAGACAATCCAGAATTTCCACTGTGTCTATTCGCTTGCATGCTTGTTAGAGGAGTTGTGGATTTCTGCAGTGAACCTTCAGATGGCTGTGCCTAAGGAATGGCTGTACCTGTGCAGATTCAGGGAAGGTGTTTCATGGGTCAAGAGTTGACGTGCTGGACCTGCCTGCTTTCCACAAGTGACACATCAGGTAAATACAAACTGGTCCTTTTGTTCAGCCTTGCAATTTGGCAGCAGCCAGACAAAATGGCCCAGAAGCACAGGGCCTAGGTTTTACTGCCTGAACAAAAGCTCTTTCAAAAGAAATCAGTCAGCAAGTGAGAGTGTCAGAAAGACACCTCCAATTTCACACTCTGGTGTATTTTGCTTGAAAGGAAGGGGTATGGGGAATTTAGAAAAACCTTTTAGTAACAAAATAACATGATTAAGAGCATAATCCCATTCCTAGCTCAATGCTGTGACAGCTGGGGGTTTGGATTCACGAACCCTTAGAAACCCACATCTCACGCTTGTCTTAAATTCAGGTGGTGACGTCTCTTGCACAGAAGTGGGAAAGAAGGGCTCACATTTATTGATTGGGCTTGCCAGACAGATGGGGATCTTCAATATTCCATTTAGATTATTGTATATCCGTAGCCATAACCCCCCGGGATGCCTGGTGGTGGGGGATGGTTGACCTCAGCCAAGGGCTAGGGCTGAACTGATGTGCATTAAATGTGGCTGGGCAGAAAAATGTGCAGATGTCCCTGCAGCAAATGGAAATGAAATTTGAGCAAATCAAGGGAGGCAGCTGAGTGGCAGGGGTTTCCCATCCCCCCCTGCACACACATTCACTCACATATCTGTGCACACAAAGGCTGTCATGAGGGGTTTTTTTTCTTGGTGCCTCATGCAGAAAGTGTCACAAAGGTCAGAACCTGTATCTGCTGACAGTGGCCCCTTTGGAAGCATTGTCATCCATTTCCTGGTACAGCATGAGGCTTCCATGCAACCCCTTTCTGATCAAAAGGGAGCTATAAGAAGTCTACAATTTCAGAAAAACGAATTGGGGTATTTGCCGAGGAGCCGGGACATAGGTTCCTTACAGCACCTTCACCAACCCTGACTGAAATGACTGACAACTTTTTATTTTTCTTTATCCCTGTCAAATTGAAGACTGTCTTGAGGATCATTAATGCCACTGCCAGAGCAAGTCATCAGCCTAGCTAACGAGCCACAATAATAGTCCAAATAAAGAACACTAGTGGAAGGGGAAAATAGGTGACCATAAATCAGAAGTGCTTTCCATTGACGGTTTTCAGAAAAGGAAAAACAAATGAGTAAAAGTGACATTGGACACAATGGCAAATGCCAGGAAAGCAACGTGACGAAAGCTGGGGCGGCATTCCCCAGGGTTCTAGGATGCAAAAGATGATGAAAATCACTGTGAAACCAATCAATCTTTGTTTCTTGTGCTTCATGACAACCACCCTGACCCTACTAAGCAGTGAGAGGAAAGTGAGTTGATCACAGTGAATCTAGTGTTGGTGTTGGTTCTTGGGTGTGAACATTGAACATTTTGCACATCTAGCTGCATACCAGTGCAAAAGCACAAATTCAATAAAAAGGCTAACATTTATTTCATTTTTAAAAAGTGAAATTTTAAAAAAGGGGCCTGGCAGGTTTTCCTACTGTTGATAACAGCAATGCTATGTACGTAAAGCATTTTACAGTTGGCAAACATAATCATGTCCATTGCATTATTTGATTCTCACAACAACCTGCAAGGCTGGGGGAGACAGCTCAGTGGCTTAAGTGCCTGCCTGGCAAGCACAACATCCAGAGTTCAATCCCTGGTGCCAAAAAACAAAGCAAAACAACCTGCAGATGTGAGCAGCACATAGGAAATAATCCTCACATTACAGAAACTGGAGTTGGGAGAGCAGGGACCTGTTAAGGCAATGAGCAACAGAAAGACGCAGCCATGTTTCAAAAGCCTGGGTGCTGACATCACCCCCAAAGCTCTCCTGGGGACACTTCAGGTTACATAATTGCTCCACCTCACTGGAGGGGGAAGAGCCTCCTACAGCATTTCCCAGAGGAGATGATCACAACAATCAAGTCCCCAAAATAAAGGCTAGCCACACACATGCTATTTAAAGGGCATTGTGCTCTAATGTTTTCCATCATTGAAGAACATATCTTTTCCTTCCTGTGTCTGCAGAATGCTGCTGCCAATGGTGTGATCAGGAACTGTCAACAAAGCAAGGGAAGAGGGACCTGAAGCCCAACGCAGTGGTCTCGCTCTCTCAGAGGGCACATGCTCACTTCAGGGGAGGTGACAGGCACCTCCTGGAAAGGAAAACGAAGAAAGACCCCCTTTGTGAGCAGCTTTATCCCACCCATGCCCACAGGTCACAAAAGAAATTGAAGGAGCCTACAAGAACCAGGGTGAATTGGGAACAAGGAAGAACCATGCAGGACAAGGAAGGGCTCACCCAGCTTTGCCTTCACAGAGTGCCATCAGAAAATTCAAGTCAGGCCCCAGACCCCACTTCCGCAACTGAACAACCTGAATCTGTTGCTGATGTCAATGGGCAAGTTATTTAGTTGAGTGCATAAAAATCCCCTTTCAGGAGCAAAGGGTTGGCCTGCCCCAAGGTACACTCTCACCATTGTGGTCACATACTTTGACTTCACCAGCCATGCCCGTCCCCACCTGCCCACCTTCCTAAGCACTACACCAGCAGCTGGTAGAGATGAGGCAGGCAGGGCCCTCCTTCCTGGAGAGAGGAGAGCTCCAGCCTCTGTCCTGTCCCAAAGGCAGCTTGGCTCTGCCACACCTGTGGAGCTGCTCCCTGGCACCCAAGCCGCAAGTCCCTGGCTCCACCCCTGCAAAGCACCTCAAACTCTGAGGACAGGAAGGACATGCTTCTTTGAACCCTCCTGCTCTTGTTCTTTTTGGTTGGCTGCTCTCATTTTTTTGTTTG